TTTCCAGATAAGGATTTCATATTGCCCAGATGCTCTCTGGGACAGGGCGTTAAAGTAATGGTCTACAGCAGTGATCCCCAACCTTTTTTATGCCACGGCCCGGTACCGGCATCAGCTGGGCGCCGCAGCCCGGTACCGGCATCAGCTGGGTGCCGCCATCTTTTTTTGATGAAAAAGTGCTTCCGGTGAGCTTTCTACCAGGAAAAGCTCACCGGAAGCACTTTTTCATCAAAAAAAGATGGCGGCGCCCAGAAAACCAGCGGCCCGGTAGGACTTGTTCCACGGACCGGGACCGGTCCGCGGACCGGTGGTTGGGGACCCCTGGTCTACAGCAGGTTTTAAGAGTTCTGGGAGCTGGCAGAAATAGCTTTGTCCAAGCTATGGTCAAAGCCTTTCATAAGGAGACTGGTGTGCCCATCTTTCCTCATAACCACTTTTATTGGAGATGGCTATTAAATCAATTTTTTGATATTAAGAACTTCCAGAAGGTCATTTCCTTACACCAGATGATTTTTCTATAATCCAGATTTATGTAAGTTTAAAACTTAAAGAATAACTTGTTAAAATTTGGAAATAAGCAGCAAAAGTTATTAGAATGTTAATTTTGGAAAGATTTTAACTGGACTAAGGGGCCAGATTGATTGAACACAAAACAAGTTATATTTCTTTTTGTTTGTTTAAAATCCTATTAAAGTACATGAAGTACTGAGTTTAAGTCTAAGAAATATCTTCTTGGGAAATATTCTGGATGAGAGAAAAACATGATGAGAGGACACCTTGAAGGATACTTATTACAGGCAACCAGAAAGAATTAAACTTTGTAATTAAACAATCCCCACTAATAGAGAATGGAGTAAAATATTTTAACTCTGCAAGAATTTAAAGATATTTGGCAACAAGGTACCCAGCACTTAGTCTTTAGACTTTCTGATTAATAAAAGTGGACAAAACTAGAGATAGAAGATATAACTTGAAAATCAGGCTTTTGGAATATGGATTTAAATCTACAGGATCTAAAAATGATATTAACAAAGATGTTATACCATATCAACAAATGAAACTGGCTATCGTTTCATTAGTTAAAATGGATATACAAATAATAAACCAGAAGAATGACATGGATACATGGATCTTAAACTCAGTAATGGTGAGTCTGGAGATTTTTTTACTTTGGATTTACAAAGGGGGTGACTTATACTTTTGAAGGAATCCTTGAGGAAAGCAAAAAATAGAAGAAATGTTTTTGAGATATTACCTAAATGAATAAGCAAGACCTTTAAAACTAAAAGGAAGGTTTACAAAGTGGGCCAATTGGATCAAAATTAAATTGCATATGATCCTATCTTTTCTGAAAGTTTTTAATGTTTTTTTCTTGAGTAGAATTGAATGGTGAGGCTTTAAAGATTTGTTTATGGGGAAGATATAAGAAGAAGAAAGCTTTATTGTATTTTTAGAGAGTGTCATAAGATATATTATAATCAAGATGAAAAAGATAAGAAATTAATTTGAGGGGCAATATTTGAAGGGCTTAAAGGTTAATATTTTCATTTTTTCCCTAGTAGCTCTTAATGGAATTTTTCTTAATTGATAAATTAATAAATTTGATGAAATTAAAACATTTGTTTATAAATATAAGGAAGAGGTTCTAAAGAAAATGAGAGGTTAAAGTATAAAATACAAGAAAGTATTATGAAACTTATGAAAGGTAGCTATGGTTTTTTATTATGCTTGGTTTATGGGTAGATGCTTGTTTTCCTGATTCATCATGATCGATCTCTCTTTCTGAACAAAAATTAAAGTAAATAAAACACAAACAAAAATCTAGAAGAATACTTTTATTTTTGTTAAATGCTCTTCAAAATAATAGAGTAAATATTACTGAATAAAGCATATTCAGAATATTTTAAATGTTATACTATTTTCATAACTTGAATTTGTTTGCTTATTACATTTTATTTTGAAATTAAGGCTTTAAAATAAATAAATTTCCAAAATACAAAATCATATACAATTTTTATCAAGTAAAAAAATTCCACTATTAATGACTTAATAATGTGCAAAGTCATTTTGTAAATTCCAATAAGTTCCTTAAACTAGTACAGTATATTATTCCCAAGTTTCAAACATGAAGCAAAGTTGTACAACTTGAAATTTCTTTAGGTCTAATGGTGTCTTCTTGAGATCCCTGCAGCTCCTTTTTTATGTTGCTCGTTTTATTTTCCGATTCACTATTACACTGTTTTGACTCCTCCGAAAGAACAGTAAGTGTATCATAATTATGAACCTCTTCCTGTGACTGGGATTCAAGAAATTGTGAACTATGGTAAGGATGGCTTAAAAACTGTGGATGAAGACAAAGAAACAGATTAGAAATAGCCATCTTCTTTTGACAAACATTTTAAATCAGAATGTCCCCCACTGGAAGTCCCATCCCAGAGGATTCAGCCAGTTAGATTCCAATGTCACGTGTTAAAAAACTCACTTATAATTAAAAATCACCTATCAGACATTCATTGCAAAACCACCCTCTTTTGCTATGTCAGCACATTTGCAAAAAAACCCTCAAATTGCGTTATCATGAATCTTTCCAAGCAGGTCAAATGAATAAATAGTTGCTCATCCACAGAAAATGGACTCAGCGCAATCGTTTTGAGTTCTACTCTCTCACTGAGTGCAGCTTTTCCCAAACTTTTTACCCTGGAGAAACCCTTGAGATAATTTTGAGATCACAAGGAACCCCTGCATAAAAATTGTAAAAAACATGAAGATTTTGTAATACAATTCACTTCTAACCTATATAATCCACATTTTATATTTACAACGACAGTAAAGTACTAGGTCTGAAGCTGAAACAGGATACATAAAAATTTCCATCACTGAAAGTGCTAGCATTGGCAATTTATGAAGTCAAAAAATAATGTTAATTTTTTTTCCAACACAATCTCTCATGGAACTTCTTGGGACCACTCAGAATCCTGGTTAAGAAAGACTGCACTAATGGATGATATTAAGCAGGGAGTAGAAATCAGGAAGTCTATTTGTGCTTCTCTATTTTGAGCTGTACTTCTCAGTGGAAAGAAAAGCAAGCGCACTCTTCAGTGACTATGGCAAGAATCAGCTATTTTTTTTCAGGTCACAAAAACTCCTGCAGAATCTTACATGGTAGAACCCTTCCCAAATCTCATAAGTAATTTCAAATGAAGATTTGTGAGAACACTTGGCTGACAACACAAAAATAATACAGGATTTTTATTTTAAAAAAACAATTAATACCAACTATTTTAGCTGTTCTAGGTTTCCCTCTTATCCAAAAGGTTCAGCTACATCTATTCCAGTAATATTACAGTGTTCTTGGAGAGCATGTTGTAGCTCTCTAGAGCAGCACACAAATTTTAAGATGTGTAATTTCAGTTCCTACAGAATTCTTCAGCCAACATAGCTAAATTCTTTAAAAGCATGTCTGGCTGGGAATTCTGGAAATTGAAGTCCACACAAGTTAAAGTTGCCAAGTTTGAGAAATACTGTTGTAGATCAGGAAGATGAAGTATGTAATTCCCTGTTCACTTTCAGTTTAATATGTTATGCTAATTTCACTGTGTAATATATAATAAAATAATGGGTTATTTTACCTTACTACCTAAAGACTGTGTTCTATCGCCAGAACAAGATAGACTCGAGACTGGAGTTGAGTTCAGCTCTTTATTTAACTGTCAGTAACTTCAACTAAACTTGAGCCGCGGCAGCCTCTTTTATAGCGGCTGCTCGCGGCTCGCAACCAATGGCATCATTTTAAACCTCCCGCCGTTTAGGCGGCCAATCATAATATGTTGTTAACCACCAACTGCTAGGCGGTAGTGATTGTCCAATCGGAACGTAGTATTACGAGTATGCAAATGTCTATATACAACAGACTGTATGCTAAATCAGATGACCAAAATTATCAGCACTACAGTTTAAGTGGATTTAAATTAAGCAAAATCACAGGGAGGTTTACATCTTTGACCATGAAACCAGAATTGTTTGCTCAAGGTTTGTTAACTGTGACACTTCAGAACAACATTCATGGGCCATTCTACTTCAGTACGCATCACATTCTGTTTTTTAAATTATACCAATTATTTTTATTTACGTACTTACACATACAAACACACATGGTGAGGAATATACAAACCTGAATGAAATGTTGTGGTAAATAATATGAAGGGAAAAAGGAATGTTTGATCCGGTGATAATTATGACCAATCATAAAACCACAGAAAACAATGAATACTGCTAGGATAATAACGATCACTATTACTGGATCTCTCCCTATAAGGAAGAAAAAAACAAACCTGTTCTATGTATTTATTGTGGAGCATATGATGTATATATCTTGAAATCCAATATCTTTCATTTCATAATTATTAACAGTGACAGCATTATATCTAATGTTAACTGCAGAGAAGAAACAACAACAGGTTGTATGCTGGCTTTGCCCTATTGCAAAACCCAAGATTTAAATTTTTATTTATTGTTACAATTTAGGTTTCAAAATTATTTCCATAGAACACACAAGACAGCTAAAGGTTTCAAAATGATACTTGCAGTGGGTTATATCTTATTTATTTGTTCAGTTTATATGGTAGCCCACTCAGTTAATGACTCTGGGCACTAACAAGATTTAAAGGAAATAAATGAACAAGACAATAAAATAATAAAATGTACTGCACCAGGGACAAAATGCAGAGCTCATTGCAGTCAGCTTATATATCATTCTGGCCCAGTGTCAACTGGAAGAATCAGATCTTCAGAGCCTTCTTAAAGACTGGTGAGGTTGGGCTCTTACCTACTATATTATTACTATTAATTGTTTGGGTACAAGTGGCTTCACTCCACTCTCCAGGTTTATTCAATTCTTCAGTAAATACTTGAGCTTTAACACAATATGTTGTTCCAGTATCTAGCCCAGATATTACATGAAAAGTGTGTGGTGTAGTCACGTTGATAACCTAATTGGAAAGAAACAAAAAATCACAATATAATCAAGTAATAGGAGCTTTATTTTCAATTGACAGTGTCCATACATTTCTACTGCTAAAGTTCACAACAGCCTTTCCTAACCCAGATATATGTCTAAATCAAATTAGACTTTCTCGACATGTTGGTTAGGGAATTCTGCATCTTGAACTCTACACATCTGAAAGGTGCCCAGGTTAGAAATCCTGTTCCAAAAATATGTCAACTCATGTTAATATAGTAACTCTGTAGTCACAATGATGAAACATTGAAAAAACATGCTACAATACCATGTCATTCTTGTAGCCTGTCATTTTTAAATACACTTTCAAGTCAGTCTTGTCAGGTGTTTGTTTTATGAAACACGTTGTGTAGAGGAAGCCACTATTAAAATAAATATCTAAGTCCATTGTTCAAAAATATCCAATGTTTTGCCCAGCATTTTTTCCAAGTTGAGTTTGAATGTACTTTGCCTTTAGTTGCATCTTTAGTTCCTTCTAGTTGCCTTTCATGTCCAATTTTCCAAGTCTTACCTCATTTAAAACAAAAGAAAAGAAAAGCCTTTTCCCACAGGAAAGATTTTTTATAATGAATTCCATTTTTTATTTCAAATTTATCTGAACCTTTAAGTCTATTTGTAACTTTCTAAAATCAAAATTTTAATCACCCGTTTGCTATTTATTAAGAAAAAAAGCAGAATTTTTCTCTATTTATTGTATATAGAAAGGTATATTTAAGCATCAAAGAAGCCCATTTCTACATGTCATCAAATATTACCTGTTCACTAGTGTTCATCCAAATTTTTATCTTGTAAACTACTGAACCATAAAAATCCTTCAAGGAATATCTGATACCATTAAGTATAACAGGAGGGCTTTGGAGATGAATATCCAAGACTCCAGGGTTTCTGAGTATAATTTGTACAATAGGAGGTGTAATGATTGCTAAATGAGTTGAAGGAAAGAAAAGAAGATACTTATTTTTACTCTTTCTCTAATCCATTTAAATATACAGCTTGACATATAACCATCTTCTTTCCTATTTATTCATTTAAAAATTTAAAATGTAGTAATTTTTTTCATACCTACATAGCAACAATTACTCAACAAATTAATATTCCTGTGTTTTTCTTTATATTTTACCCCTATGTCTACCTGTCATTTTTGATCTCTGTTTCATTTTTATAAAGATGGCTAAGCAGCAGTCCTGAATGTTGAGGTTTATTAAGCAGAAAGTTTTTGGCTCCCCTGTTTGTGACTGAATTCTGCTGCATATGTGAAGGAAAGTGCATTAAAAAAATGAACACATGATTAGAAGACTTAGCTCCCTCCAACCATAGCACACCTCAAATGTAATTATTAATACTAGCTTTAGAAAAATAATCAGCAAATGACTATCAAACCAAACCCATAATCTCATAGCTTCTCAAAACACGGTGAGAAAAATGCATAGAAAGAATTTTTTCCTGACTTCTGGTGCCGTTGCAGCATGGCAAGGTAGGAGAACCTTGATCTGCTCTCCTACCGTGGGGTTTTTGCTCATGGGCAGCCGTTCGAGGCGAAGTTAGATCCTGGTGGGATCACTAGAGTGAGGAAGAACTCTGGGAGCCAAACAGGAAGTGCAATCCCGGAGGTGAAGAAGGGAGCCCGAAGCACAGGGCAAAAGAAGTCAGCCAGCTAGGCTGGCCCAAAGACGTGATGGAACAACTGTGAGAAGGAAGCGGAGAGACGAGATCGAATTTGGAGTCTAGGAAAGAGGTCGAAAGGAATCGATGTTGGATTATAACTAATAGATAAATCTGAAAGGTAATTGATACGTGTGTGAAGTGCCGGAGCGGAAGGGGGAAAGTAGAAAGTGGCTGCAAGACTGAACTGTTTACCCATAGCTCCGGATAAAGTGAAAAATTGCTTTTAAAGGGGAAGTGGAAAGGAAAGGAAAGAAGAGTGACTATTGATGAGGAAAGTTTTGTATTTCCAGTCACAAAAATATACCACAGAGAATATTTTACAGCGGAGAAGAATTGTGAAACTTTGAAATTTTTGAATGAGGAGTGACAGTGCAATTCGTGGAGGCAGACATTGTGACAGGGAGAGCGGAGTAAAGTGGCAGGGGTACCAGACTGAACTGAGAACTGAGAACTGAGAATTGAGACTCGAACTTATTTCTGGATACAATTGGATTACTAAGGAAACACTAGGAAAAAAGGAGATTGTAAATTCTCTCCTCATTGAGTGTTCGTTTTTTTTTTTCTTCCCTCAAAATTGATCGGAACGATATAATCTCACTTTCTATTTACTTAAGGTATACATTTAATTAATAAGAAAACAAGATTGGTTACTTTGAAATAGGTATTAATTTAAGTAAGTAAATATACTCCCTTTGGAGTATATTTTATATCTCTCTTTTCTTTTACTCATTACATATATTTGATTGACTATAGATTAATGACTTTAATATATTGATTAATATAAAGATGAGAAAATTAATTGTTCTTTCCCTCTCTTTCTCCTACCTTCCTTAAATACTGTGAATTATTGAAATAAATAAATATACATATACATATACATATACATATACACATACACATACACATACACACACACACACACACACACACACATATATATATATATTCTTAAGTTTTTGCGGGTACTTGCATGTATGGTATTCAGCTTTGTTCGGGTATTTTCCCACATCATTATAGTTGTGCTTTTAAAGTTGTAGCAACATTTCGGCAGAATCTCATCTGCCATCATCAGGCTTCTGTATTGTGTTCGTCTGTGAGTCAGACTTTCACAGCTGTTTCTGTTTTAAATTTGGTGCTAGCCTACTGCTGTGCCAGAATGGTTTTTTCTTCATCCTAGCACCAAATTTAACGTTGCTACAACTTTAAAAGCACAACTATAATGACGTGGGAAAATACCTGAACAAAGCTGAATACCATACATATAAATACCCGCGAAAACTTAAGAAAACAAATATCAGACCTCTACGGGGAGGAAATAAACAGCCAGACCAAAACTTACGAGAAGCTGGAAGTTAAAAGAGCAGGAATACTATGTGACCTCAAATTCCTACGCAGCTGCAGAGACAACAATGCAACAATGACCTGCTTCAAATTAACATTTCATCACAGCACAGCAGCTACTAAACGTATCCTGAAAAGAACTAAAATGGCTCTACTCAGGAATTAGCTCCACAGAAAGAGATTCCAACTCGATCAGTTAAACAAAGATCTCCTAATTCTACACCTGGAATTAAGCAACAAAATCCACCCTCTACTTTGGGACAAAATAAAACAACTTACAACTTGGAGAGCTGAAACTGAAACCACTTACAAAAATGACAAACTCCTGAAGAAACTAAAGAAATTAGAACATGACAAGAAAGCCCCCAACAACTCACAACACCTGAAACAATTAGTATACAACGTTCCCAACAGAGAACTCACCAAAACAGAAACAGATGTCCTAACCAAAGGATTCAATTATGCTATAGCACCCCAAAAAATCCCCACAGAATCCATCATATGTGGAGTAGAATCCAGCCTAACTAAATTAAATACAGATCAAGCTGATAGAATAAGACACCAAGTCACTAACAGCCTATGCACAAGCAAACCACTCAAAAGCAACTTGCACAAAGAGGAACTAAAAGCCCTGAAAGCCCTAAGGAATGACAGCAGCATAATCATACTTCCAGCAGATAAAGGTAATGCCACAGTAGTAATGGATAGGAAAGACTACGAAACAAAATTGACAGACCTACTCCAAGACTCCACATACAAACCCATAAACATGGACCCAACCACATATCTGGAAAAAACAACCAAGAAGAAAATCATAACCAGCAACATGAGCAAAGAGATCCAACAGAAGATCATCCCAAGAGAAAAATCTTCCAGATGCCCCAAACTATATGGCCTCCCCAAAATACACAAAGAAGGCATACCCCTCAGACCCATAGTCAGCTCCAGAGGAGTACCACTACAAAACCTAGCCAAATACCTAGCAAAGCAGCTACAGCCCCATGCTGAAGCAGCAGCTTCACATGTACAAAACTCGTACCACCTCTTGGAAATGATCAAAGATCTACACGTGGAACAAAAAGATCTGCTTGTAAGTTTTGACGTGGTTTCACTATTCACTCAAGTCCCAATAAAAGAAACTCTCGAAATCATCAAAAATAAATACCAACCACCCAAACACTTCATGAAACTAGCAGAACACTGCTTAACCAACACATATTTCATATACAAAGGACAAAGATACAAGCAAATTGAAGGAGCCCATATGGGATCACCACTTTCACCCGTCATTGCAAACTTGTTCATGGAAGAATTCGAATTCAGAGCCCTAGTCAATGCCACCCACAAACCCAAACTATGGTTAAGATACATCGATGACACATTTGTGATTTGGCCCCATGGAAAAGAAAACCTAAACAATTTCCTAACACACCTAAACAGCACACACCCCAAAATCAAATTCACCATGGAAATGGAAACAAACAAACAACTACCATTCCTAGATGTACTAATCTACAAAAAAAAACAGATGGCACTCTAGGACACACCATATACCAGAAGAAAACACACACCAACCGCTACCTCAACGCCCAATCCCACCACCACCCAGCACAGATAAACTCCGTGGCCAAAATACTAATTGCCAGAACCAAACGCCTGACAGACAAGACACACATAAAGACTGAACTATGCACCCTGACTAAAGTACTGACAGCTAACGGCTTCCACAAAAGCAAAATCACCGGCTTGATCCACAAAAACACACTGAGACATAATGGAGACCTAGAAGATGAACAGACCTATGGAACAGCTGTCCTGCCTACATAAGAGGTACTACAGACAAAATCAGTAAGATACTACACAGGCATCACATCAAGACTGCCTTCAAAACAGACAGAAAAATAGCAGCCATCCTAAGAAACCCCAAAGATAAAATTGACCTGGAAAACCAAGGCATATATGAAGTTCCCTGTGCATCATGCCCTGCCACATACATTGGACAGATCAATAGAAGAATAAGTACCCACCTGGATGAACACAAAAATGCAGTAAAAAAGCTGGAACACACTTCCTCACTAGTCCAACACATGAAAGCAACAGGTCATAGCATCGACTTCAATGGCACCAAAACCTAGCCACTATTGAAAACCCCAGCTACAGAATTATCAGAGAAGCCATAGAGATTGAAAAAAGACCTGAAAGCATGAATAGATGACTCCACCAGACTGTCAATTATTTGGAAGCCTGCACTCACAAACAAAAAAATCTCCACACCACAAGCCAGGCAAACACCTGGGCACAAACAGAGCCCCCCGATACCTCCAGCTCAAACACACCCCAACCAGGCACCCAGATGAAACCTAGCTTCCTAATAAATGATAGCCGTCCGTTTACTTGGAGCCAAGCCACACTAAAAGCCTCCAATACAGGAAACACAATGTTGCCAGCCA